AGATTCCAAGCCAGGCAGCTCCCCGAGAGCACATCTGCTGTGCAAGGAGTCTTTTTGTACTGAGTTCCTCAATGAGAACCAGATAGAACCAGTGTGTACTTCGCGCTACATCTCCGAATTCATCGGGAAACAGACTTAGTTCATTGCAAGAACCCGACTATATGAAGAACGAGAGGTGAATACAGACGTAAAATGACGTAAATAAATAAACATATCTCTCTATATATATATATATGTACATATATACATATATATATATATGTACACAGATACGTATATTATATAGACATATACACATAGGAGGACTGGAAGGTAGTGTGTATCTTGGGCGTCGAAGCCTCAGGTCTCAGGGCATGCCGGGGCCCCGGGCAGCGTTGCGACCACAGCAGCGGCCGCCAGCGCAGACAGAATCACCGGCTGCTTGACAGACCCCATGCCTTCGGGAGGGTTTAGGGTTTGGGGTTTAGGGTTTAGGGTTTAGGGCTTAGGGTGTAGGGTTTAGGGCTTAGGGCTTAGGGTTTAGGGTTTAGGGTTTGGGGATCAGAGTTCAGGGCACAGTTATTTATTAATTTATCTTCTGTCTGCCAAATCATACCACCACCCTCTAGGACAGGGTAGGTAGCCTTGTGTTCTCACTTTGTACCCAGATACTTAAGACCGCAAACCTACACTGGTCCTTAACTCACAAACCTTACGGTGTATTCCTGAATTCAGCGATCTTGGAAGATCAAAGGCCTTCTACTTCCAGGTCCTTAAGTCTTTTGTTCTCAGTAGGAGGTCCGGTCTCGGAAGAAGCCACCCAACCCCCACAAGCCCACAAATCCCCAAAGCCCCTAAACCCCAAACCCTAAAACCCCCAACCAAGAACTTACTGTTGGTTCGTAGGGAATGGGGGAATGAGCTACACTACATAATCACTTAAAGGGCATAGGGTCCCAAGTCCTTCATTCTCTGCTATCCAGCTAAACCCTAAACCCTAAACCCTAAACCCTAAACCCTAAACCCTAAACCCTAAACCCTAAACCCTAAACCCTAAACCCTAAACCCTAAACCCTAAACCCTAAACCCTAAACAGCAGCAAGAGAAAGACCCTGCCTCGGCAAGCTCGGGCCCGATTGAACTCTGGGCCGCACACGTGCAGGCGAAGCGCCGAAGCCTCCGATGACTTCAACGCATTAATTTTTTTGTGGGTTTAGGGTTTAGGGTTTAGGGTTTAGGGTTTGGGGTTTGAATTTAGGGTTTAGGGTTGATGACTTCAACCTTTTTTTATTTTTATTCTTTTTTTTTTGGGGGGGGGGGGGGGGGGGGGGGGGGGGTTGGGGTTTGGGGTTTGGGGTATAGGGTTTTAGGGGTTTAGGGGTTTTAGGGGTTATAGGGCTTTAAGGGCCTATTTGGGGCGTTCGGGGCTTTAGGAGCAAGACTCGGTTTTTTGGGGTTGTAGGGTTTTCGGGGCTTATGTAGGTTTTTCGGTCTTTAGGAGCCTAAAAAGGTTTTAGGGGTTTTGAGGGTTTAGGGGCTTATGCAGATGTTGAGGGCTTTGGGGCTTTAGCGGCTTCAGCGGGTTGAGGGATTTAAGGACTCTTGCGGTTTTAGGGGTCATGCTTTGGGGTGTTAAAGGTTGTACCTTCTAAACTAAAACTTAGGGTTTAGGGTGTCGGGTTTAGGGTAATCCCTTCCCCTTAATACCCCCCAGCACTACGACCCCCGAAACTCCCAAAGTTAGTATTAGGGGGGGCGTTCTTATCGACTGAATAAACAGCCCGTCCTTATTGTAGCTTGCTGGGAGACCCTAAACAGCGAGGAATTTGAATCTTGAGGGTTCGGGCTTCTGCCCAGGCTTCCCAACCCCCCCTTACCCCCCTTAGGGTTTAGGGTTTAGGGTTTAGGGTTTAGGGTTTAGGGTTTAGGGTTTAGGGGTTGTTAGAAGGGGCGGGTACGGGATCGGGTTTTGGGGTCAGGGGGTTTTGAGTATTCGGGGTGTTTTAATTCTAGGGGGATGGAAATTAGTGACACGAAACGGGAGTATAGCTTAGAGAAGTGACCATGTAGGGCTTATATAGGGTTTAGGGGTTATAGGGTTTTAGGGGCTATAGGGTTTTAGGGGTGACAGGGTTTTGGGTTTCTGGGGTTCTAGGGGTTTGGGGTTTTGGGTTTATAGGGTTTGTAGGGTTTCTAGGGCTTATGGGGGTTATAGGGTTTATAGGGGTTATGGGTTTGTAGGCTTTTAGGGGTTATAGGGGTTAGAGGGTGTCTAGGAGTTTAGGGGTTGTAGGGTTTTAGGGGTTGTAGGGTTTTAGGGGGTTATAGGGTTTTAGGGGTTAAAGGGGTTTAGGTTTTTAGGGTTCTTAGGGTTTTGCGGGTTGTAGCGGTTAGGGGTTCTAGGGGTTATAGGGTTTAGGTTTTTAGGGTTCTAGGCGTTATAGGGTTTTAGGGGTATTCAGGTTTAGATGTTCAGGGTTATAGGGTTGAGGGGTTGTAGGTTTCAGGGTTTAGGGGGTGCAGGGTAGAAGGTTTAGGGGGTGTGGGGTTTAGGGTTACAGGCTTAAGGTTTTAGGGTTTAGGGCTTGCAGGGTGTAGGGCTTGTAGGATGTTTTGTTAGGGCTTTTGGGGTGTTTAGGGATGTTTGGCGCATGTATGGTTTGGGCTTAGAGGTCTTGAAGGGATGTAGCTTGAGGATTCATGGAAGAGCTACCATGGCTCTCCGGATTTCGTGTGTTTTCCTCCTTTTGCGATTTTGCTGTCTGCTGATGAGTGCAGGGGTATTTGTGTTCGGGATGACTGCGACGGACAAATGGCCGAAAAGTCAAGAAAGCGGGGTTCGCTTAGAAGTGCGTAAAGGACATACTAAGAATTAAGACCTAAACCCTAAACCCTAAACCCTAAACCCTAAACCCTAAACCCTAAACCCTAAACCCTAAACCCTAAACCCTAAACCCTAAACCCTAAACAAGGCTTCAGGGCTTTGTTGGGGTTTGCAGGGCTTCGGGTTTAGGGAGTGGGGTTCACGAAAAGGCTCAGGGCGGTCGGTTCAGCTAATGCTAAACCCTACTCCTTCTAAACCTTTCGAGGCCCAGAACCTAAACCCTGAGGGTGTCTGCCATAACTTCCGAGCTAGACCGTCTCCCCGAAGCATGTAGGTGAGGATTTGAAGTAGGGTTAAAAGTTAAAAATTGCTGCTCTCTTTGGACTGCAATTATATTGGTTGTTGCATAATTTTGGGTGTCCTGCTGGGGATGCTCGACGTATAGGGTCTGGGGTGTTGTCTCTCTCGCATAGCCTTCAAAAATGCCGTGGAATAGAAGAAGACTTGCGAACTGAAGCCTCCTGAGAGAACTTGTTTGGATCTAGAACCCATATCCCTCGGACCCTGAACATTTGGATCCCCAAACCCTAAACCCTACACACCCTAACCTCCCTAAGCCCTAAACCCTAAAACCCTAAAACCCTAAAACCCTAAAACCCTAAAACCCTAAATCCCTAAATTACCCTAAACCCGAAACCCCTGAATCCCGAAATCAGGTGCACTGCCTCCGCTGAGTTGGTTCGCGCGGAGGGTGGGGCACCCGCCGCTTCGGAGCCGAATGTCGGCGGAGGCAGGAAAGTTGTCCGGCGTTGAGGGCTTCTGGACACTTGGTTTAGGGTTTAGGGTTTAGGGCTTAGGGTTTAGGGTTTAGGGTGTCTGGGTTCAGGGTTTCAGGGTTTCACGGGTTTAGGGTTTAGGGTTTCGGGCTTCTGGGTTCAGGGTTTGGGGTTTAGGGCTCAGGGGTCCCTAAGTTTGAGATAGGAACCCACTTAGACCCTCAACCCAAAACCCAAAACCCAAAACCCTAAACCCTAAACCGTGACTGGTCAAGATGCCCAGATGTACGTTACCAGGGATTGAGTGACTCGAGGTTGCAGTGCTGTGCGAGCTCACAAATCCCTAAACCCTTTTAGGGATGTAGGGTTTAGGGCCCTCAACCCTAAACCTAAAACCCTATACACCTGGAAACCTTCAACCTTAAACCCTAGCCCCCGCTTTCATTCGCGAAGTACAGGTCGCCATAAGCCTTTGGGCTCTATTCCCCCAACAACATCCTGAGACGGCTCAACAAAGGAATGCCTGTGTCATGGTTTAGGTTTAGGGCTTAGGAGTTTGGGGTTTAGGTGTGCTTTCAAGCTCATGCTCTCATGAAGGCAAACCCCAAAACCCTGAACCTCAAACCCCAAAACCATCGGCCGGGCCTCTTTTATCTTGCTATGAGGCTCGGAGAAGCCAGGCTGCAGGGGGGGTTGATCCAAATCATGGACCCTGGCACCCAGTACGCTAGAAGGAGCACGCAAAAAGCCTGTACTTCCAGCATCCATTGGGGTGCTTCGGGAGCCTAGTGCCCTAAACCCTAAACCCTAAACCCTAAACCCTAAACCCTAAACACTAAACCCTAAACCCTAAACCCTGTATACAAGTCCGTAAAGGTCTGGGATCCCAATCAAGGGCCCTGTTTTCAGATGAACCCTGGCATGGGTTCCCCTACCCGCCCCATTGTAATTAAGGCTCCTTACGGGGACGGGGGAACTTTTTGGTTTAGGGGTTTAAGGGTTTAGGGTTTAGGGTTTAGGGTTTGGGTTTAGGGTTTAGGGTTTAGGGCCAAACAGGAGGGCGGGGGGGAACTTTTTGGGAGGAGCACCCTGTAGACCCTAAACCCAGGGGTGTAGGGGGATGATGGGGGCTGGAAACCCATCCTAAACCCTCCAATGGGGTGGGAGTTTGGGGATCCCATGATCTCAGTGCATTTGCAATGTTAGGGAGCCTGGAAGAGGGTCCAACTCCAGGGGTTTTGGAGGGCTTCGTCGCATTGACCTGGGAATGTAGAAGCTTTTGTGGCTTACCGGGCTTAGACTCGAAGGTCTCGGGTTCCAATGCCTCAGCCTTACATTCAAGATATCAGCCCATCCAAACCCCCTGTTGAGCACCCTCCACTTCAGCGGCCCCTTGCATTAACATTTTTTGATGGAGTCCCTCACATGTGGGGCATAGAGGGTCTCAGCAAAGCTTCCCCTTCGTGCTCTTCCTGGATCTCGTCAGGGTAGCGCTCGCTGCCTTGCACTGGCATGGTTTAGGGTTTAGGGTTCAGGATTTAGGGTTTAGGGTTTAGGGTTCAGGATTTAGGGTTTAGGGTTTAGGATTTAGGGTTTAGGGCTCAGGGCTCTTAATCTCTAAACAAAGGGTGCAACTCCGGGTCCTTCCCATGAGTCCCACACAACACTCCTAAACCCTGAACCCTAAACCCCAAACCCTAAGCACGACTGTAGGCCCTACGAAGCCCTACACCCTCAAACCCTAAACCCTAAAGCCTAAACCCTAAACCCTCTCCACCCTCTTGGAATCCTCTAGGGCTTTAGGCTTCGCGTCTAGGGGCCCACCCGTCTGCTATCAACTAAGCCCGTTAAAAACTTCATAGCCCCTAAACCCCGGTATTCCCTAAACTGCCCCACAAGCCTTGAAGCCTGAAGCCTAACCCTAAACCCTAAACCCTAAACCCTAAACCCTAAACCCTAAACCCTAAACCCTAAACCCTAACCCTAAACCCCAAACCCCTGTAGTTTCACCTGTGCAAGGTGAGAGGGGGCCTGGCTCTCCTTCGCTGGAGGAGGAAGTCTCCTCCACCGGAGCTGGAAGAACAGCCTCAGTGAAGGCACCCTTAATCTTATTCCCCTATATAACCTCGTATACATACCTTGCAGAGTCCCTATATGCCTAAGTAACCCTAAACCCTAAACCCTAAACCCTAAACCCTAAATCCTAAACCCAATATACCTAAATAACCCTAAACCCTAAAACCCCTAAGGTCCCTGACAATCGTCCCTTGACTCAGGCCTTCGGTAAGAAGGCCAAGCCGAGGCTTCAACAGTTCAGGGCTTCAGGGGTTAAAAAAGGCTTGGGGCTTTAGGGTTTTAGGGTTTAGGTTTTTTTTTGGTTTAGGGCTTAGGGTTTAGGGTTTGGGGTTTGGGGTTTGGGGTTTAGGGTTTAGGGTTTAGGGTTTAGGGTTTAGGGTTTAGGGTTTAGGGTTTAGGGTTCAGGGTGTAGGGTTTAGGGTTTAGGGCTAGGGCTTAGCTTTAGGGTCCTAGGGTTCAGGCTTTAGGGTCTTAGGGTCTTAAAGGTTTTGGGTTCAGGCTTACATGTAGGTTCTAGGGATGGACCTGGACCATAGGACCTCTGGCCTCAGACTCGGCGCTTGGCGAAACCCTAAACCCTAAACCCTAAACCCGAGACCCTAAACCCTAAACCGTAAACCCTAAACCCTAAACCCTAAACCCTAGCCCTAAACCCGTGTGAAAGGCTAAGCTCCTAAACTCTACGGCGTCAAGGGCATCCCTCAGACCCCCGTATGTGCCTGGTATTCTCCTGCCCTCAGCCAACAAATCTGGGCATCAGGCAGCTGCGAGCACCACGACCAGTATCCTTGGTTTGGACACAAAACCCCTAAACCCTAAAACCCTAAAACCCGAAAACCCTAAACCCTAAACCCGAAAACCCTAAACCCTAAACCCTAAACCCTGAACCCTGAACCCTCAACCCTCAACCATCTCTCTTCTTCTTCTTCGTGATACATGAGAGGGTCTCTCTCTTCACCCCTACCCTCGCTCCCTTGGTCTCCCTCTCTCTTCTTCTTCTACACAGCGAAGAGGCCCTCCCTCTCTCTCTCTCTCCCTCGCTCTCGCCTCCGTCTCTCGTTCTGTCTCAGTCTCTCCTTCTCTATTCATCTCACTCTCACTCTCTCTCTCTCTCTCTCTCTCTCTCCTCCTCAGTGGAACATCCAGAGAACCTTCCAACACCTTAGAGTGTAGCCCGAAGCCATGCAAGTGTTGCGGCGTTGGACCTCAAATCAAAGCTGCTAATCTCAACCTAAACCCGACATTACAATCTTTAAGGCCGTTCAGCCCTTAAAACCCTCTGTATAGCCGTAAAGCCCAGATCCTAAACCCTAAACACACTACACCCTACACCCTACACCCTACACCCTACACCCTACACCCTAAACCCTAAACCCTAAACCCTAAACCCTAAACCCTAAACAGATTCGAGGCATGGGTCTCTCCCGGTCGAGCTCGCTGGCGCAGCAGTTGCAGCACCTCTCAGCGGGGATTTGCGGGTTCAGGGATTTAAGTACTCTACTCCCCTTAGAACCTTATTAAACATAACATTTTGATATCCTTTTGGGTTTTAGATTAACACTTCTAAGGGGGCTATAGGATAGGGCTTACCACCTGAAGTGCGGACGAAACATTCGCCGGGTCGTAAAGAAAAGCTTGCTCTGCTGCACACACTTCCAATGAAGCTCTCCCGGGAAAGGCTACCCTTAAACTCTTAACCCTCAACCCTGAACCCCTTAGGCCCACAACCCGTGAAACCCTTGTGCCCCCGAATTTTCATCCCCGAACCACTCTGACTCTAAGCTCAACATCCCGCAAGAATTTCAAACCCCCTAAGCCCAGAATACCCTTGAACCTATCTGCACTCAAAACCCGAAAACCTTACAAACCCTGAGCCCTGAACCTTGAATCCTGAGCCCATAATGCCCTGAACGGATCTGCTCCCAACCCGAACACCGAAGCCCTGAACCTTGAATTCTGAGCACATCTCATCTCACTACGACTCCCATGGCTGTTGAGATCCCGGCTTGGTGAGCAATGGGCTCTGAAATCCTCTCATACGAGTTCATGGGCCGTTTAGGAAGGTAGGAGGGATTCCAGAGTTCAGGGCTGGAAGAAAAGGTTCTGGTGCTTGAGGCTCATTGCTTTTAAGGGCTTCGTAGGAGCTCAAAACCCTCGTGTGCCGAGCTTGCGATTCCAGCTGCGGGGGAAGCTCCTACTCCTGCGGCGACTCCTACGGCTACTGCTGCACTATCCTAAACCCTAAACCCTAAACCCTAAACCCTAAACCCTAAACCCTAAACCCTAAACCCTAAACCCTAAACCCTAAACCCTAAACCCTAAACCCTATCTCTCTTTCTCAGTCGTGTATGCAAGTACTTCTAAGTTCCGCACTCGCGTCCGAAGCACCGCGCCGTCAGTTCGCGACACAGCTTCCCCGCGTCCTGTCTGTTTAGGGTTTAGGGTTTAGGGTGTAGGGTTTAGGGTTTAGGGCTTAAGATTTAGGGCCCCTTGAACCCAAAATTTGAATCCTAGCCGCACACCCAAATTCGGATCCGTACACGCCTAGCCCGTGAGCCGATCTGTACTACAGGGGTTTTCACGGAAATCCTTCAACACTGTGAACACCGATCTGTTTGAAGGCTTCTGCCTCAGAACATTCTGACTATAGGGTCCTTCAGGGAGGTGGGTTCAAGGGGTATGTAACCCACAGTTCTGAATACTCCCCACTTCTCCCTAAGGCTCCCTAAGGTTCCCTAGGTACCTAACCCCCATGAGCCGCCTCCCTCAAGAACCTAGAATCTGAGAGGCTCAGGTCGGACACGCAGGCACTGCGCAGAAGAGTCCCTCCTCATCCTCGTACACCTCAGCCGAGGGTATGAAACCTTAACCGCAGGGTGGGTTATGACATGCACGGGCTTCGCACACATGCTCGCAAGGAAATTGAGCGGGGCCTCATCTGGTGCTTGTCTTCTGCCATCTTTAGGTAACGCTGCGGACACGGAAGTTCCTAAAAAACACGCCATGAACCCATGACCAGAATCAGCCTGCAAGCCCAAGTTGCTCTAGGTTGCCCAGTAGCCTAGGATGAAAAAGGGTGCCCATTTTTGCTTAAAGGAGTGTATAAGGGAACCTAAACCTACCAAAAAGGGAATAAGGGTACTACTGGGCATCCTAGAACCAGAGAACGAGTCAGGCCTCACTGCAACTGTTGGCTCAGTTCTCGTCGGGCGGTTCTTGTGTTATCAGGGACGTGCGGGACGAGGGTTTGAGGGTTCTGCCTTTAGGGGGTTCCATGGGCTTCAGGAATATGGGTATGAGGCCTAGGTTAGGATTCCGGTTTCAGGTGCCTAGGGTTTAAGGGTTTGGGGCTCAGGGTTCTCACGCAGCCGCCCCTACAAGGATCTCCGGGATTCCGGGCGATCTCGGAGAAGTGCCGATGACCTGTCAGCCAAGAGTTCGGCATGCGGGATGCGAAGGAAAACCAGAAAGAGGGTGAGCTACAAAAGCAGAGAGGACATGTGAACCCTAAACCCTAAACCCTAAACCCTATTTGAAGCCCTGGGAACCTACAGGGTGACCTGTAGGCCCTATAAACCCTACACCCCAATGAATCAACCCTAAGAGCCGTATGCACATCCATGAACCCTTGCAGAGGCCCAATGTTTGAATCGCTACAGAGCCCAAAATCCCAGCCAGAGTTTGGGCTACCTAAACCCTAAACCCTAAACCCTAATGGGGAAAAGAGCCCCAAACCTAGCCTCCGGATCCCCCAATTTCCCCCCCCCCCCCCAAACTAAGTTCAACCTCTCCTTAACAACAGCCCCACCGACTTCATTCAACTTATGGGGCTTAGGGTTTAGGGTCGGAGTAATTTATGGGTTTAGGGTTTAGGGTTTGTCACAAGGATATACTCCCCAAATACCCCACTTTCGATCCTCCCCGAGCGCATGGATCCCTAACCCTAAACGCTAAACCCTAAACCCCCTACACCCCGAAAACCCTATATCAAACTACTTTCCCGCGCCTCCTCCAAACCCTCAATCTCCCAAGCCTCAAACGCCCTCTGCACTAAAAAGGAAGCCAAAAGCCCCCCCCCCCCTCCCCCCCAAAAAAACAAAAAAACAAAAACAAAAAAACACAACCGAACTGCCCTCAGGCATCTCTTTGGACCATCTAAACCCTAAACAACCCTAAACCCCCCCCAACAACCCTCAACAACCCTGAACAACCCTGAACAACCCTGAACAACCCTGAACAACCCTGAACAACCCTGAACCCTACACCCTAAACCCAAAAAAACAAAAACTAAATCCCCAAGCGGCCCACCTCTGCCCCCAGGGCCCAGGAGCACTGCTTGGGGCGGCTCAAGAGGCGACACCTCTCTGGGGTTTAGGGTTTAGGGTTTGGGGTTTGGGGTTTAGGGTTTAGGGTTTGAAGGTCTCCATTGAAGAGTTCAATATACAAGAGTAGAATATGCGATAATAACAGATCATTTCATGTCATTGAATCCCTTCAGGGTTATTATGGGGTTTTTGCAGGGATGCTATAGGGCGATAGTTGGGTTATAGGTATTCTACAAAAAACCTGAACCCCCAACCCAATCCCTCAATAAGCTACGATGTCGGGGCTAGCTTTCCACCGTATGAAAAAAAGACCCCCCAAAAGGGCACTCATTGCGAACAGCCCCGAGCAGAGTCTTTTGGGGGTACCTTCTTTTCGAGTCAAGCAGTAGGTAAACCCTAAATCCATCATGCGGAAGTAGGTCTGCACGCGAAGCAGCCCAAACTCCAAACCCCCAAATCTGCCCCCCCCTCCCCCCCCCCCAACCCGCACCCCTCCCCAACAAACAAAACACATTGCCCGCCGATGTCATGTGGCGAAGCACCCTAAACCCTAAACCCTAAACCCCAAACCCTAAACCCGCGAATCATCGGCGCCTTTGCAACATAATCCAAGGCTTGGAACTCCAGTTTCGGCCTGCCGCCGCCCAAGCTGTGGGATTGGGGCGTGTTTCATTTTTTTGTTTAGGGTCTTAGGATTGTGGCATGTTTGGGAGGTTGATACGCACTTTAGAGTTCGCGTTTGGGGCCTTTAGGGCTTCAAGGATTTGGGACTTGGCGGTCTGTGAGGGTCTCTCGGGGTTGGTTTAGGACTCCAGGGCCCTGGGGCCTGGACCCAAGAGCCAAGGAGTGAACAGGGTGCCACCTTTTTTTGGTTTAAGCTGTTAATTAAGGGGGGGTTCGAGGGGAACCTTAAGCCCTTAAAAAAAAGGAAGAAGGGCCTCTGGATCCCCCTAAACAACCAAACACCCCCAAAAGCCAAAACCCTACAACCCTAAAGCCCAGAACCCGAAACTCCAAACTCCAAAGCGAAAATGACCCCGACACCCAAGGATCTAAAACTTTAAAAGCTGACCCCCCTCTCCTCCCTGGTGTTCAGGGGTGGGTTTAGGATGAGGGTTTAGGGTCTAGGGTCTAGGGTTTGGGGTTTGGGGTTTGGGGTTTGGGATTTGGGGCTTGGGGTTTGAGGTTTAGGGTCTAAGAGGCCCATAAACCCACAGCCTTACCTCGTCGTCTCAAGCAAGTTTTGCGTGACGACGATTTCGCCGGCTAGGGCTTCCCGCACTTGGTTCTGATCCGCAGGCCTTGAGAAGGCGTGGCAAATTGTAGATGAGTGGCTCTTCAAAATGAGGTTCACCTTTTTGGATCCCCCTGTAGAGTACGGCACCTTGTAAAAAGAACCACCCAAACAGGGGCCCTATGTCAGGAGAACTACCCTGTCAGTCTCAGGGCATTATCAGGCATGTGTTCTTCATAGGAATTGTGAAGCCTAGAGGGTTAGTAGTCTTATGGCTCGTACCCCCCCCAAAAAAAAAGGGCAGCCAATTCTTGTGTAGAAATACGTAGCAAGTATGCGAATATTTGTAGACAAACATACACTCACAACTGGTTTATCAGGAACCCACTCACAAAGATGAATCAGGGTGCCTGGGTTTGAGGGCTTATTGGGAGTTGATTTTTTTTCGCAGGGCTTATACGGGCTTAGCGGTTTGCAGCACTTGGGCCTTACAGGGTGTAGTTTATGGGGCTTGTAGGGCTTCTCCTGTTTTTTCAGAGGGTTAGGGTGTGGATCTGAATCTCACTTGCCCCTTGTGAGGGCGCCAAATATACCGTGCCGCATGAAAGTATCACGGACCCCGGAAGGTGCTGTCAATGAGAGAGTGACGCCCCGAAGACACGAAAGGCCCGGCCCTGAACTGAAGCCCTAAAGCCATAACACCAAAACCCGTAAACCGTAAATTGTAAACCCTAAACCCTAAACCCTAAACCCTAAACCCTAAACCCTGAACCCTGAACCCCGAACCCTGAACCCAATAATAAGCCCTACACCCTAAGCCCCTGTGACGACCGAGGCTGCGGCGCGATCACAAAGCTGTCGCCTGAAGTGCATCTTGTGAGGGTTTCAGGACTCGGGGTTGAGGACTTAAGGCTATTTAGGGCCGTCTTGGGTCAATAGGAGTTGCTCAGGGTGACTTAGGGGTCCTTTGGGGCCAGTGCGGGTTATTCAAGATCATTTCGGGAGTACAGGTCCCAGGCACCCCGAGATTGCGGGCAACAGTGTCTTCAGGCACCCCAAGCTTGCTAGGCCCCTATAAAGGGTCTTTTAAGGGATTATAAGGTATCATAGCCCATCCTGGTAGGGCGGAGGGTTTAGGATTTGCGGTGGTACGACACCCAGCCTTTTGTTTTGCGCGCGCTGAGGCGACTAAGTCCGGAGCTCACTGGGACTCGGCAGACTGCAGGAAGCTGCAGCAACCACTCAGCACCCGGCCTCGCCAATCGGGTTGAGGGTTTATGGGGTTTATAGGGTTTATAGGGTTTGGGGTTTGGGGTTTAGGGTTTAGGGCATAGGGACTGCTGCGCACATGTCTTTGGAACATTTTTTTGTGCCTGGAAACTGCATCCAGCCTCCGACGCCTAAGATATACACCCCCGAATCTTTAGAGATTAGCCAAAGAACATGCCAACTCATACCAAGCCCTGATCTGGGATTGGGTTGTGTGACGTGTCTCAGGGTGGCTTGCGTACTTCCCAGCCCCTGCAACCCTTACCTCTGGCCCCTCCCCCCCTAAACCCTAAACCCTAAACCCTAAACCCTAAACCCTAAACCCTAAACCCTAAACCCTAAACCCTAAACCCTAAACCCTAAACCCTAAACCCTAAACCCCCTAAACCCTAAACCCTAAACCTAAACCCTAAACCCTAAACCCTAAACCCTAAACCCTAAACCCTAAACCCTAAACCCTAAACCTAACCACCCCCCCCCCCCCCCCCGCACCTCCCAACTTCATGGTAGCAAGTTGAGGCACGGGCCCCAGAAGTCCGAGATCCACGTTGCAGGTTTCATCAAGCTCCTGCTTTTTGGTACCCAAAGGCTCCTATGTAGTACCTTTTTGGGGTAGTATACTCGAATCCCCTATAACTAACCCAAAAAAGAACTACATTGGAGCCTTTGGGTAGTGCTCATTGTATCTGCAGGCCTGTCTTCTCTCTTGTGCTTTAACGCGGACGTACATACACGCCGATAGATAGATCACATGTAGGATGCCTTTTTAGGTCTGGCTTGGGATCCACAGCTTATAGGGTCTCTGCGTGGTGGTGGGGAAGATCCACCCTAGAGGGTGTAGGCTGGGCCTCTGACTTGGGAAGTGAAGTCAGAGCTGAGCTTGAGCCCTATATGCGGGGGTTTACGAAAAGAAGGGACCCCTAATATAGACCCCCAAATAGAAGGATTCCCTTGAAACAAGGAACCCCCAAAAATAAGGAACCCCTAGTTTCCTAGACCCTAAACCCTAAACCCTACACCCTAAACCCTAAACCCTAAACCCTCTAGGCTTTCATCCCTGAAGCCTCACTGCTTCTCGGGGCCTGTATGCGCGGGCAACACATGGCTACAAGCAGTGCCAGCAGCCGCAACGTGGCTACCTGCCGGTTTAGTGGTTTAGGGTTTCGGGGTTTAACTGGGTTGCTGAGAAGATTGAGGTAAATGACCCATGACATGAAAGCATCGACTTTGTGCTATCTCCGTATTTTGAAGTCCAGGCAGGTTCAAGGCTCTCCTTGAGGTTAGTAGGACATTTGCAACCTACTCATTTGTACGGTTTGAGTCTGGATAGGAACATCGGGTTTGGCGCGTGGTGCTTCTCATTGAAGGCTTTGGCTCTTGCAGTCTACACTAGCTTGTGAAAGGCTCCTAAAAACCTGTCATCAGCAGCTTATACTCCTTCTGACTTCCTTCAATTCTTCAAACCCGAATCCCTAAATGGCCTTCTTCCCAAACCCAAGAAAAAGAGTCTAGGGTTTAGGCTCCAATCCCTTAGATCTTAACCCTCTGAGCCCCCTTCACCCTAAACCCTAAACCCTAAACCCTACACCCTAAACCCTAAACCCTAAACCCTAAAGAACCCAGAGAGCAGTCCGGGCGCCAGGCCGCACAAAGGATCAGCACGAGCACCGCCGCGAGGAGCGCCGCGACCGTGGCCTCCTGTAAGTCCCAGGATTTGGGGTTTAGGGTTTAGGTTTCAGGGTTTAGGGTTGGGTTTAGGGTTTAGGGTTTAGGTTTTAGGGTTGAGGGATGGGTTTAGAGCTTAGGGTTTAGGGTTTAGGTTTTAGGGTTTAGGGTTTAGGGGTACGGATGGTAGGGGGTTGTCCGGGTCCCTTGCTCTATAACCCTTATATACACCGTGTATCATAAGGCTCCATACTTTCAGATCCCTATAAACAAGGGTAAGGGACCATAGTAAGGGCCGATGGTTCGACCTTAGAGGGATTGGGGTTTAGGGTCTTCGAGTTTGTTTGTACCTGACAATGGAAGGGTTTAGGGTTTAGGGGTGGGTGAAACGGGTATGGCTTAGCGTCTAGGGATTTGTTTAGGGTTTAGGGTTTAGGGTTTAGGGTTTAATTAGGGTTTGGGGTTTGGGGTTTGGGGTTTAGGGTTTAGGGTTTAGGGTTTAGGGTCTGAAGGACCTCAAGCCACTCTCGGGACAACCTTTTGTGTTGGTGTGAGGCGGCGAGTGGCTTATGAAGGTGGAGGGATCTGAGCCTTAACGCTACTACTGATGCTGCTGCTCCTCCTCCTACTATTATTACTATTAGTACTACTACTACTACTACTACTACTACTACTACTACTACTACTACTACTACTACTACTACTACTACTACTACTACTACTACTACTACTACTCCTACTCCTACTCCTACTCCTACTACTACTACTACTACTACTACTACTACTACTACTACTACTACTACTACTACTACTACTACTACTACTACTACTACTACGACGACGACGACGACGACGACGACGACGACGACGACGACGCCCCCACAGTCCCCTAGAAAGCTCTGGCGGATCCTTCCTTAGCGTAAATGTAACCCAATCCCTATAGATTAAGGGTTTAGTGATGTTTTTTAAGGAACCTAATCCCCAGGGTTTAGGGTTTAGGGCTTGACAGGAACCTAAACCTTAGGGTGTATGGTTCAGGGTTCCGGGCCACTCTGGGTCCTAGACTAACACCCTCTTTGCAGCCTTTGCGCCCTCAGCCGTGTTAGCACAAGGGCCCCGGCGTCTGTGGCCATCCAGCCAAGGGTGTGGCCCAGTTGGGTTAGGCAGAGGATGGAGCAGGCCTTAGGCAGTAGGGTGCAGGGCTTGCGGGTTTGGAGTTTCGGATCTAGGGCTTTAGGGGTCGAATACCGGAGCCTAATATTGTCCCCTTTAGTGCCGGAACTACAAGACCCAACACAAAACGACTCTAGACAAATTTGGAACCCGTAGCCATACTACTCGACCATCCACCATAAGGTCCCCAAACACTCTAAACCCAGAACCCTAAACCCTAACCCCTGAACCCTATAATCCCGAAGTCCCCGTCCTTGTTCTTGGTAGCCCAGTAACCATATTCTGAAAGGGGCACCCTTTTGTGGGTTGGTAAAGGGATCCAGGAAACAAAAAACAGGGTAAAGGGTACCACTGGGCTACCAAGTAATTGGGGCCTTGGGATGGACATTGGGATCTACAGCTTGAATCAGTGTTTGCGGCCTAAGGTCTTGGGCTTGGGGGTTCAGACTCCTGGCACTTAGACGGGGGGTTTAGGGTGTTTCGGGTTTAGGGTTAGGGCTTACGAAATAGGGGTAAGAGGCATTCTCAACTCGAGGCTTGCTAGGGTTCGGGCTAGGGGGCTAGAGTTCAGAGTCTGTGGTGAACCGCGTGATAACCTTCGGCTGCCTTTTGTACGATCTTCTTCCATAAGCCCTAAACCCTAAACCCTAAACCCTAAACCCTGAACCCTGAACCCTGAACCCTAAACCCTCTGCGTCTTTTGAGTAAAGTGCTGCTGACCATCTGCAGGGGCCACTCATGCTCTAAGCTTGGCGTATCCCGAGACCCTAGTTCGACCCCCGCCAAAAAATCAAAAGGGTTTAGGGTTTAGGGTTTAGGGTTCCCTGACAACCCCAAGCAGTCTAGGGCTCTCCAAATGCGCGACATGGGGGTGAGGGCCCCGACCAAGTAACAAAGCAGCAGCCTTGGATCAGGTCGGAATCGGGGGTTCCATAGGTTGGACGCAGAATGGGAAGCCCGACAAGTTAGCCGGAAGCTTAAGGCCTAAACCGACCTAAACCGACCCAACATGTCAAACCATAAAATCCTAGAGGCTTCTAAGCCCCTGTCAGACTACGAGCGGCAACACTTAGGCTCTCAGGACTCTACTTCCAGGATGCCTGAGATTTTTGTAGAGTCTTCTGGCGTGCTATGAGTCTCAGGATAGCTAAACCCTAGATGAGGGTTGATCTAGCTGCTGCGCCCTTTCCGTGGGGCCGCGGTGGTCTTAAGGCGACAGCCTTTATTGCTCCTACAAAAAAAGGGAGGCCAGAAGTTTGAAGCTCAGGCACGACGGAGTTCACCGAACTTGTATAACTTAAGAAGCCCACAATGTACTCATATATATATATATATACATATACATTTATATTTATGTTTATATATATATGGATATGAATATATGAATATATATATATATATATGTATGTATATTGTAAGATTCCAGGGAGTGCATCCCTGGCAGGCTGGCCCTGCAGAGCTCTGGCTCTTTTTCACCGCTTGGTTCCGCAACCTGCGGCTCAGCCGTAGGATCTGCCGGCGACAGTCGAGCCTGGGACGCTCCCTCCAAAGGGTTTAGGGTTTAGGGTTTAGGGTTTAGGGTTTAGGGTTTAGGGTTTAGGGGCCCCAGACTCCGCGTGTTCAGGAAGAAATACCTTAAATTCATAAGAAGATTTCATCGTCGTACACAACTTCTTAGGCTTCGGGACTAGGGTTTGCGGCTTCTTTGAACCACTGTTTATGGAGCTGTGGACCCCAGAACCATACCAAACATGACTCTGTGCACCAAAGATGATCGCATACCAGCCCCTGAAGCTCGTCCAACAGCTAAAACTTGTTCCCTAGTCCCCGCACCCATTTAGGGTTTAGGGTTCAGGGTTTAGGGTTTAGGCCGCCAGAATCCCTCATCACAAAAACTGAAAGGGCATCTGACCAGGGAGCTGCCAGATTTTTGCATAGCCAACGTCCTGCCAAGTGGTCTGGCTTTCTGGGGAGTCGTCGCCATCTTGCATTGTCAGGTGTTCAGGGCTGGTTTTCAGGGCCTCAGGATTTTCTTATTATTTGTAGTTTTTGCTTTTTTTGGTGAAACTTCGATGTTTGAGACTTCAAGTGTTCGCTAGTGCATCTTGCATGTGAGGATCACTGGGCTTCAGGCCTTCAAGGTGCAACTAGTGTTGACGGTTTCGGATGTACTGTTCCCCAGCCCTAAACCCTCAACCTTTCCAGCCCCTCCAACAAAAACCCTAAACCCTAAACCCTAAACACCTTTCTTGTCTGCCTACCCGCCAAAGAACTACCAGGCCCGCACAGCACGGGTACAGAGTTTCGAGCTAGGCTACACACTTCGACGTAGACGATACCAACAGTCAGGCTTTGAGCTGTTGCGGGTGTAGGGTTTGGAGATTTTGGCTTTAGGGCTTAGAGCCCTAAACCCTAAACCCGAAACCCCGAACCCTAAATCTTAAGCCCTAAACCCTAAACCCCAAACCCCAAACCCGAAACCCTAAACCCTAACCCCCCCCCCCCCCCCCCCGAGTGAAGGCCTCGACAGCCTCCGAGCAGTTGCCCGGCTGGAGGCCAGGGAGCTGCCTGGCCAAGTTCCTCGGACGACTTGCACATCTAATCAGTGCATATTAAGCGGTATTTTCAGGGTTTAGGGTTTGGGGTTTGGGGTTTAGGGTTAGGGGTATATAAGGGCACACGAGGAGTTTCTAAGATTGTAAAACTAATAAGGGTATAGAAAGGGTATACACGGGTTCCCCGACTAAGGGCCCATATTCAATGGGCCATGAAGCGACCCTACGGGCAAAGTGGCGCCGGAATTTGCTGGCCTGATTTCAGTGGTCATGAAGTGTCAGGTTTGGGCTATCCGCTGCGGGTTGAGGGTTTAGGATTTAGGATTTAAGGCTTAGGGTTTGGAGTTTAAGGTTTAGGGTTCAAGATTGCGATATGTCCGCGGCAGACAGCATGGATAGCCTTTGCTCACCGGAAGCATCAATTCCTGGGCTCGCAACAAACGACAACTGGGTTCAGGCCGCACATAATCTGCGACCATTTCTTGCAACTGTGTGCTAAATTCTACACCCGGAACCCTAAGCTGAACTGCGCACACACACACACACACCACAGGCACACGCACACATGCACACATGCACACATGCACACATGCACACAGGCGCCCCTGCCGCCGAGTTGCTGGACCTGCGCGACATAGACGGCCATGTTGGAGGCCCCATTTCCATGGGCGAAGCAGATGCTGTGGCCTAACATGGATGCAGGCTACAGGCGTGCAGGACATGTAACCAGGTCCACCCTGATGCCTATACATTAACACCCCCCCGCCCTCCATCCCCTATGACCACTAGATTCCGTATTCTAGATGCTGAGGTAACACCATCAGCCTTATTCCTTAGTAGTTTAGGGTAGAGGATAATTGTGGGTCTACAGTACCAGTGAACCTCAAATCCGAGATTCGGTCCCTTTCCCGGCAAGAAGGTACAGAAAAGTGCCTGCTGCCAGTTGCCAGAGAGACCCTGATTCTCAAGATACCGCTAGTTTTGGCATGCGGGGACAGATATGCACATACCGAACGACTTCAGAAACATGACAACCAGCCTAATGCTGACGAACCAGTTTCCTTCCAACCCTAAACCCTAAACCCTAAACCCTAAAACCTAAACGGGGGGGGGGGGGGGGGGGGGGGCATGTCTCAAAGACATAGCATCTCAGACAATGCCCCTTGTAAGACCAAAGCCAGGCAGCCGAAGGGTCTGGCAAACACCTGCATAGGGTTTAGGGATTAGGGTTTAGGGTTTAGGGTGTAGGGTTTATTTCAGCATGCTGCGCACATGGCTGAGTAATCTGGGTGCCTCTTTCTGTGCAAGTTTCGCCGCAGAAGCACTTTGTACGTTCGCCCCCAAAGCTGGCACCGGAAACACCTGCATCAAATCTAACGGTTTACCAGGTACCATAGACAAAATCGGGGTCTATTTTTCCTTCAAATCCGAGGTATTATCTAGCGGCTCTTTGCATTCGGATGGAACCAGATGGGGGTTTACGAAAATAGGGGCACCTTCCTTATTTTAAGGGTTTTCCGACTATTTTGGGATCTATATTCGGCGTCCCTTCATTTTTGTAAACCCTCACCCCTAAACCCTAAACCCTAAACCCTCAAAACCGCCGTTGTTGGGGTGGAGTCCTGGTGGCCTCCCGCCCGCGCAGCTCAAAGTCTCCGAGCTGGAAGCCTCGCGTATGAGGTCTCGGCTTGAATTCTTTGGGGTTTAGGGTTTAGGGTTTAGGGTTTAGGGTTCAGGACTGTTTGGGGCTTGCAGCGCCTGTAACTGAACCACCGACCCGAAACCCTGAAGGACACAACCAGCGAGATCGGGTAGGGTAGGACCCCGGCGACTCTGCACAAATGTTGTAGTCAGAGCGCTCAACGCGCTAAGGAACATGTCAGCTCCGTAATCCAGGGCAATCTCGTCGGGATGCAGCATGGCCTGAGTTGGCCGAGTATGTAGAGAAGTGAGACGAGCAAACCGTATTCATGCAGTTCTCCGCCATCAACCAGCTTTACGCACCGGAAGGCCAGATGTGCAACCCACGCGACCTAGAGATGAGCACCCGACATCACCTCACACTGCCCTGAAAACACACAAAAACCCACAAGTTACCCACAACTCATCCGAAGCCCTCAGCCACCTAAACCCCTTGAACCCTGCACCCTATAAACTACAAACCCTAAACCCTAAACCCTAAACCCTAAACCCGAAACCCTAAACCCCACATTAACTGAACCCCCTGAACCCCTCGCAGGGCCTCGGGTCGACTGCCGCCCAATCTGCATCCCTCAGCCACCTAACCCTAAACCCTAAACCCTTAACCCTAACCCTAAACCCTAAACCCTAAACTCTAAACCCTAAACCCTAAACCCTAAACGCAGCCCACATTGCGTACGTGTGCCAAGAGATCTGGTCGTCGCTGCCCACCAGCATGGACTCGCGCTCCGAGTCGTTCAGGGCCAGCCTCTGGCATAGGGGAGGGGGGTTTTAGGGTTTAGGGTTTAGGGTTTAGGGTAAGGGTTTAGGGTTTCGGGTCGAGGGTAAGGGTTTGTCGGGTCTATCGGTTTTGTAGGGTTTAGAGGGCTTAGGGTTTCAAGCGCCTTCTTGTGAACAAATTTGGAGTTCGGGGCTTAAGAGGTCTGACATTTGAGGTGTCCTCAGCTGGAGTTCAGTCAGGGTGGCAGCTTGCCTAATAAGGCACTGTTGCTGCTTGAAACAAAGGGGCCCTGATGTCAATGTCGAGCCGCCCTTTCTCTGCTCATGGCTATTGGGCTTTAGGGTTTCGGGGTTTAGGGTAGAGCACAAGACCCCTAAACCCTAAACCCTAATCCCTACCCCCTAAACCCCAAACCCCTAAACCCTAAGCCCTAAACCCTCCATCTGGGGATGAGAAATAGCATTGGCGGCTTTGATGTCACTGCATGCCCAAGCTACTCCTTGCAAATCAGCACGATTTAGGGTTTAGGGTTTATAGGGTTTAGGGTTTATGGATTATAGGGTTTAGGGTTTAGTCACTGTTTTAGAGCACGTCTATCTACAAAATGGAAAACCCAAACAAATAGATACATGAACAACTACGTGCATGCATAAATCCACAAAGCATATGTACATACACATCAATGTTTGTATAGTTATGCTTTTTACTATTTCAGAAGCATACATGTACAAGTAAATTTACATGAATAAAGAACTTACTACATACACCCATACCATACATACGTATGTTCGTACATGAAAACATATATGTAGACATCTATATGTATACATACGATGTATGCATACATACAGTGTATGTGTGTTATACATGTATCTGCACTGATACATGCATACATACGCTACGAAAAGCACACACGCACAATCCGGA